CCTTTACCATGGTGCGTTGAAACTGAGCACCTGTGACCACAGCAAAGGCTTTTCTGTGCAGGATTCACTCTGCAGGATAGTCTCATCCCTCACTATAACGCCTATAACCAGACATTACATTATTTTAGTGGTAGGTGCATTTCTTCAGGTATGCAGGGGCAATCAAGTACAATTTTTTAAATGCTTTTCTTAGCTTTTAAACATGTATTTAATTCGAGTTTTGTGTTTTATGCAATAATAATGTATTTCGAGTATAAGATAAATCCAAATAATTCAAACAAAAGGAGGTTATTCTGCTACACAGTGAGTATAATTTTCTATTGTTTTGTTTTGTTTTGTTTTTGTTACCTCTTTACCTGTGTCTTTTTAATAACATTTTTTTATAATGACGCCAGTTTTTCAGTGTGGCATGCATAACAATACCATAAAATCTACATGGATGTCATTATAACTGGATTTTAGTGATGTGGTTTAGCTATTTTTATGTTGATTACGCATTATTTTTCACATTCAAAAAAGAGTCAGACATTCTTGTTAAAGATTTGTCTGCATTTAGGTGGAAATTACGTTACAGTTATGATGCATACGATAAAGAATTTCTTGAGAAACTCTGCATTGCTTTTATCCACTTGGTTCTGAATGCAAAGCGGTGCTGTGCGCGTTTCTGTAGTTTTGTTTAAGTGCGTATGATTTCGCAGAAACGTAGCCGTGTGGTTTAGTGATCGTTGCCCAAACTTTAAGGTGCTTCCTTTGCACCGGGTACAGCTGCCAAAAAAAAAAAAAAAAAACCCTAACAAGTAGACATCTTATCTTGTATCCACCTTACCTACGTTTTTTTCTTCTTACACTACATATAACAACGCGTTTCTCTTTAGAATTTATTATTTATAATTACTGAGATTTTAAAGAAATAAATAAGAACGGAAGTAATAACTGAAATTCCCTGATAGCAAAACAAGTTTAGGACCAGATTCCACCAGCTCCTGAGCGCATGTCTGCATTTAAACATTTGGCCAGTAGATGTCAGTGTTGGTAACAATCTGCAAAACGTCAAATTACTGTGTTCAGTAAGTTGTGAGTATTTTAGAGACATGCACAGAGGCTTTCAGCAACTACATCTGCTCATCTCTGTCTGCTTTAAGAGTCACTTTCATTTTTTTTTCCTTCTGTGCAGTCCATCAGCAGTGTTGAAATGCAGTTTAATTGCTGAACCTTCATCAGCCAGTTGATTGGGATTAATTTGCAAAGCAAGGATTTCATTCTTTTCTTTATAATTACAATAAACGTGATAACAGATTCAACAGATTTGGTTCCTTTGGGGGTTTTTTCTTGTAATAATATAAAATCATTTTGGTTTTTTTCTCCTTAAAAAAAACCCAGAAAAACAAACTGTATTGCTTGTCTAAATTTTTTTGTGTGTGTTATCTTCTTCCTCTAGATATAGTATACAGTACACGACACACACACTGTTTTAAACATTGTTAGCCTCAGTTAAATAATTACACCTTAAGAATTTATTTGATTAAAGCAGGGGCGCCACTAAGGGGGGGCACTGGTCACCCCCCGAAATTTGCTCCCAGTGACTCCCCACCCCATTCTGGGGGAGTGAATCTTAAGCCGCTTCTGCTCAGCTCTGCTGAGAATCATTGAAACGATGGCTGGGACTTATTTGCTTTTCATATGTATCTATTTTCAGTGATATCAACTTTAATACAAGGGAATTGACTAGGCATATAATTATTTTCTTTCTCTCTTTTTTGCCATATTTTTCAAGTAACCTATATTTGACAACAGCATAATAAAATTCTGTTTTTTGGTGCGCCACCCCAACATTTTAGTGGCCCCTATATGGCCACCCCTATGAAAAAATTCTGAAGGTGCAACTGTGACTAGAATATTCTGTCAAATAGCCTGCATTTATGTGATTTTTTTTTATGGGCAAGGATTAGCATGCAGAACATTAAGTTTATTAACTTAGAGAGAAAATTCAAAGCCAAACACACTTTATCGCTTGCCAGAAGGATTTATATTTGAGATGAGTTTTTTTAGGGAATATTGTGTGGATTAGTGTTTTTCTCCTGTCAACTATTGACTTAAGAAACTTATCTGTGATGAGCTGCAGCAGACAGGCAGACAGACATATCTCTTTTTTAAAAGCTTTAAAAAAACTTTTTAGATCGCTCTTCAAATGATGTCTGCTTGTCTTTCTGCAAACTTTAAAGGTTTTTTGGGGGGTTTTTTGTTTTTGTTTTTTTAATAGGACTGCGGTTTTTAACACATTTAGATGTAGTGATTCAAGAGATACATTTGTGATCGTGCTGGGAAACAGTGATTAATATCGTTAATTACAGCCACAATTGCAAACAGCATTACTCATAAATAAAAGAAGCTGTCTCAGAGAAGAGATAGGCCATTCTTTGCTCGGTCACCAACATCCGCAGCTTGTTGTCATTAAACAAACATATTTAACTTATTTCCTGATGTGTATTAAGGAGTTTCCATTTCTGTTTTATGTCCTTGCATCACTGAATCTCAAATAACATTTAATCAACAACTAGAAACATGTTTGTCGCCTGTCGGTCGCCTTCAGAGGCAGCCAAAATTCATTTCTAGATTATCCGCTAGTCATATCTGGATGCTCTGCTTTCATCCCCCAAGCTTCAAAGCCGAGGCTGTGTTCACTTCAAACAGCCATCACCGAGTGTCAGTCAAACCCTGCTCCAGAAGACAACAAACACTGCAGAAAATGTTAATCAACCCGGGCCAAGCATCACCAAAGTAAATAAAATAAATTGTAAACAGATGCCATAATATGCAACATATGGATAAATAAGGCAGCATGTCATCTTTCTTCTTATTTTTTAATTCAGTGGTTGACGCAGGAGCCAAACTCCTCTGTCTCTTTCAATTCCCTCTATCCCATCCATGCCAAACTTTCAGCCAGTGACTTCACTGCACGCTGCTTCTTATTCCAGCCCGGGGTGGAAGTCCACAACCCAGAGTCTGTTAATACAGAAGCATAAATCTCTCTGCCTGTGTTCCTGCGTTCAGTTTACAGTCCAAGAGCAGTAACCTTTTTACCTTTGTCTCTGCAGGATCAAGCACATCGTTGGGCACACTTAAAAGCATCTTGTAAAAGATTTAATGGTTCGAATTTCCACTCCTTCGATTCTGGACGGATTTCTGTCATCACACAGGGCAGTGAAAGTGATGACAGCTCAGAACGGATGAATAAAATTCAAAAGTATTAACATTAAAACTAGCGATGCAAAGCAAGTGAGGTCTTTCATTGTGAGAAAATATTTGTGTAGGTCAAAAATACTCCGCAGTCCCATCAGCGGCTGAGACACCCGATGAAAGAAAAGTTAAATAACTGATATTCTTAATGTTCTTTTTTAAAGCTAGATGAATAACACATTTCCACTCAGTGGATTTAAAGTTTAAACTTCCATTTTTTCAGCATCCTTGATTATACATTGTTTTTTAATCTGTTAAATTAATTAAACTAGCCAATCAGCTGTTAGGAATGTACTTTTTTGCTCAATTGGTTGCAGCTTGTCCCGGAATAATCCCTCTGACGTAACGTCTAGAAACGAGAACAATGTGAGCGTATTTCTCGAAACAATAAAAGTTTTTCTTCCTCTTCTCATTGTTGAGTGTGGTATCAGCGAGACATTGTGCTCTCGTGAAAAACCTGTTTGTTTCGGATACTTCATTCCTCTGAAAACCCATCAGAAGTTCTCTTTACAACGCGGACATGAAGGGAAACAAAAGTGGCGGCTCAAAGGCGGGAAAAGGGAAGAAAAAAACAAGCTGGAATTGAGTGGTTTGTCACCGTGAAAAAAAAAAAAGACAATACGCTTCTTTTTTTTTTTGCCTTGTTGTTGTTTAATTTTTTTGTTTTGATCAGCATCTTTGTTTACAAGTGGGTTACATGATAGGAAAAGTGAGAGACGTGTCCTTCCTGTCTGAACTTTGGTAAATACATTGGAGGCATGAGAAAATGTCAAGGCTCAACTGTGGTCAGAGTGCTGCAAGTGGAGCGGTGACTCATTTTCAGCATGAGTGTGTCTATGCACGTTTGTGTGTGCGTGAGGGGAGAGAGTGAGAGAGATGTAGTGTTTGTATGTGGCACTATGTGTGCAGCAGATGCAGCGATCTTTATCTCTCATTCATGGCGTCCAAGGAAATGTAGCGTAAGCTGGTTAACAGTCATTTTCTCGGTATCTGCCTGCCTCCCAGAGATGTGCTGATAATCACTGCTTTGTCGCTCAGGCAGCCACCTGCCGTCTTGTTTTGTGGAAACTGAGGTAATGCTATAGCATTGCCCAATAGTTGTAGTGGTGCCCTCTGCTCCTTCATTGGTTGACTTTTACATGTTACATAGCTGCTCTGTGCAAAGACAGACGCCCAGTAGGAAATCAGCAGAGGGTCAGCAAAACTCACTTAATATATACGCAAGCAATTTATGCCACTCTGTCATCTCCTGCAACTGGATTTTGTTTTAAAAGTTTGTGCACCTGTTCTGGCTTTGTTCAAAACCAAATGCGGTATGTGTAATATTGGGGGGGGGGGAACTGATATACTGCTAATTGTGAGGCTCATGGTGTTAACTGAACACTGGTATTTTGGTGTTTGGAGCCAAGCCTTAAAGGCTCTGCACCATCTATGCTTATTTAAGGTACCATGGATAAAGGCATTCAGCAACTGACATACAATACTCAAAAAAAAAAGCCCAGATAAAGCCCATATTTTTGACCAAAGTGAGAAAGAACAGCCTATATAGCTTATACTCTGATTCACATCTGCAGCTGATAATCACAATATGAAACCACAGACTTGGCAGGATGAGGAGAGCTGTGCCCCTGCCAGCACTTTCACCACAAACTATCAAACTGCTACGCCGAGCCTCCTGCTATATACTGTGCGCAGCATCGGTGTGTGTACTGAATACTTGAATCTGTAATCAACACATTCTCCATATTCTCCCCCTCAGGTGCCCCGCCAACATCAAAGGAGGTAAAGGATGGTTTGGTATCTCTGTGTGCCTGTGCCTTCCAATGTATAAAACAGCCCGGCTTTCAGCCCCAAGACACAGGCGGGGAGCTGCCGAGGAAATTTAATTTCACGACTACCACATTGCTACCTGGCAGGTAGGGCTGTGGTTCGTGTATTTTGTAGCTTTTGCCTGCACCTGGTTATGAGCTGATCACACCAAATGCCTCTTTAAACCACAGGATCAGATATGGAAATCCTTGTGCCAAAGATCCAGGTTTTTGTGATTCTTTGCACGGCAGCAGAGGGAAAAGCATCAAACTGTCACTCAATTAGACAGTGAGAGAAAAATAATAATAATTTAGGAATTTAACTACAGAAGGAAGTAAAACAGGTAAACTGTAGTAGAAGTAGTTACTGCTGAGTGACCCTTTAATTAAGAAATTGGATTTTTAACTTTAATTTAAGCTGTTTTGAGGACCAAACTTACAAAACAAATGGAATAATTTAGTTTGAGATTACATTTCTAATGGAATATGCATTTTTGAAGGTCTTATGAAAAGATGCATTGAACTGCATAAAGTTCCCTCCGGTCAGACATGGTTGAGTGAAATTTTAGAGGGGAAAAAGTACAAATTTTCACTCGTTGCACATCATAAGAGAGCTTAGACGCTCTTAAATTTATAACTCATTAATTGCAACGCAGTATTTCTTCTGAAGGTTGTTTTGCAACTTTATGTTATTTGGTTTTCTCACTGAAGTATGTAATCTTTACAAGTGACAATAAAAAAAAGAACGCGGTTCAGCCCTTGTTTCATTCACTCACGCGAAAAGTATGTGACATCATTCAGCTGCTGAATTAGATCAAGATGTAGCTCTAATGACTGGAAAATACACTTTATCAGTTTGATATGAACATGAAATAATCCAGTTTAGGATGTACTTTTTGGTTTGGGGTGATTTACATTGTTTTCTCATCAGTGTCGTTTGGTCTTGGTTGCTCTTTGGCAGTTTGCTCAAACATTAAAGTTACTGTGGTTAATTACTGGAGCAAAGGCCCAGAGAGAGAAACTGTGCACCAACTGAAGCTCCTTGGCACTGAACATCAAGCCCCGAGCTAGTAACCTTGGTGCGCTTTTTGATCCTGTCTTGAGTTTCACATCATAAAAATCAACAAAATTGGCTTTTATCTTCTCAGGAGTGCGGCCAGATATTGAAAGGCAGATGAATGCTTTTATCACCAACAGAGTTGACTACTGTAATGATTTTTTTTTTCTTTTCAGGAAAGCTTTGCAAAAGCTGCAAAGAGCAAAAGCAGATGTTTCATGGGTTGCCCCTCAGTTTTAGATTTTAATGTTCTGTAATTGGCAATTCGCTCAGGAGATGCCAGACTTACCCTACTATTAATGCTACTTTTATCCCCAGTTTTACATTATCTTTTAATTATTTTATGATTAACAACAGACTTGATTTGACTTATTATTAAAAATTTTGTAAACCCACAGTCGCAGAATCTAATTTTCAGGAGTTGCAATCTTTTCGATATTATGTCTACAAACCTTCGGCTGGAGTGACCAAAGCGAACCCCAAGTTTCTCCTTCTTAAGGCCCATTTGACATTTTGAAATGTAGTTCTGTGCACTTTTACTTTTGTGTCATGCAAGAGTTGCCGAAAGTTTGAAGTCAGTTGATTGCACTTTACCAGTTTGTAGCCTTAACAGATTATGCTTAGGCAATAACTTACATTACAGTAAATCACTTGTGTAATTCTGCATTTTAAAACGTTGCTTTGAACCTCAAAGTTAATTCCATTCACAGAGCACAGCTATCTAAGAGCAGGTTAGAGGTTGTTATATTGGAGGAGGAGTACAAAGAACTTTCCACAGGGGTGTCTGATCAGCGCTGAGATCTTTCGATGGTTGTGTAATACTCTACGTCCCTACGAAACACACCCTGTAGTGCCTTGACAACCCATCTACTGTAGATGTGAAGAGCTCTTTCAACAACAAGAGGTGTGAAGAAATCAGACAAACTGTTGTCTGCGTGTAAATACGCTGTTTGTTAAGATGCTGACGGTTAAATCTAAATGCCAGGCACACCTCAAGCTAACGTACAGACAACCACACAGAAATACAATCACTCGCCCACTCTTGAACAGCCCACACAGACGCACACACACACACACACACACAGGTGAAGGCACGTATACACTCTCCAACTGTAGTCTGCCTCTCTCAATATCTCTCCAGAAAGATAATTTAAGCATACACTTTTCAGAAAGTAACTTCTTCAGTTATGTGTGGAAAATAATGAAACGTGTGGAGCAAAGTATTGTTTCATCGTCAGAAACCTGTGTGGGTGACACATGTATAGTGTAATTTGTTACGTTATGGCGTCAGAATCAGAATACTTTATTAATCCCTGAGTAAGTAACTAAGCTAGACAAGATAACACAATGAATTACAAATTTACAAGATACAACAAAATAGCTCTAATTATAAATATCCCAGTATATTACACAACGTTAATATATGCAGTTGGGTAAAGGTGTACTTGTAACCTTGTTTCCTAAAAGTTGTGTTTTTTCAGAAGCCTTTTATTTTTTTTATATTTTTTTCTAAGAAACAGCCCACCAGGAACAAATACAGTATCATCTGCAGGAACATCCTGTTCACACTCGCATTACAATTACACACATTTGCACTTGGAAGCGGCCCAGAAGAACCACAGTGTAATCTGCAATCCACTAAGTATCATTTCAGAAAGTCAGTTTTTTGGTATGAAATGTCATTTATGCAGTTAATATAAAAATAAAAGGAAAATTAAAAAGCAAAAGATCTCAGATTTAACGTAGAATCTGTCTGATTTTATTTATTCATCACCTTCCCAACAATTTGGTGCAAGTCAAAGTGATTCGGAAGTAACTGCAAAACTGTTAATAACAGTATACAGAAGCAGTGAAGGTGATATAACTGAGAAAAGAAAACAATAAAAGTCATCAATACTTAACAATAAAAAAAAAAAGGATGACATTCAAAGCCAGTTAAGGAGGTCGGTCTTATGAATTTCTTTGAAAATGTCAACACTATCAGCTTCACTGTTAGCCTGCACTCTGGAGCAGCTAAAGACCCCTACATATTCTCATATCCTCCCTTCTTCTGATCCTGGAGACTTTTTAATCAGTTCTTAAGTACATGCATACTCAACTAAAAGACATTTTCATTTATTGCATATTTTGAGATTTTTTAGAAAGACAGCCAGTATTCCTGCATCTTTCAGTTAGCGCCTGGTCTCTTTCCAAAGTTTCTGAGAATTACTTGATCAAATCAACTGTTTCTTACACCTTTAGCTGTTTTGAGAGTGCGCTAGACACAGAACATACTGTAAGCACTATATAAACAATATACATACATATAAACTGACACACACACACACACACACACACACACATATATATATATATATATATACATATATATATATATATATATAAATAAAACACCCAGCACGCATGGGCGTTTTTATCCTTCAAGCGCGGTTTATCCTTCAAGCTCGGGTCCTCTACCAGAGGCCTGGGAGCTTGAGGGTCCTGCGCAGTATCTTAGCTGTTCCCAGGACTGTGCTCTTCTGGACAGAGATCTCCGATGTTGTTCCCGGGATCTGCTGGAGCCACTCGCCTAGCTTGGGAGTCACCGCACCTAGTGCTCCGATTACCACGGGGACCACCGTTACCTTCACCCTCCACATCCTCTCGAGCTCTTCTCTGAGCCCTTGGTATTTCTCCAGCTTCTCGTGTTCCTTCTTCCTAATATTGCTGTCATTCGGAACCGCTACATCGATCACTACGGCCGTCTTCTTCTGTTTGTCTACCACCACTATGTCCGGTTGGTTAGCCACCACCATTTTGTCCGTCTGTATCTGGAAGTCCCACAGGATCTTAGCTCGGTCATTCTCCACCACCCTTGGGGCATCTCCCATTTTGACCTCGGGACTTCCAGATTATACTCGGCACAGATGTTCCTGTACACTATGCCGGCCACTTGGTTATGGCGTTCCATGTATGCCTTGCCTGCTAGCATCTTGCACCCTGCTGTTATGTGCTGGATTGTCTCTGGGGCATCTTTACACAGCCTGCACCTGGGGTCTTGCCTGGTGTGATAGACCCCAGCCTCTATGGATCTTGTGCTCAGAGCTTGTTCTTGTGCTGCCATGATTAGTGCCTCTGTGCTGTCTTTCAGTCCAGCTTTGTCCAGCCACTGGTAGGATTTCTGGATATCAGCCACCTCCTCTATCTGCCGGTGGTACATACCGTGCAGGGGCCTGTCCTTCCATGATGGTTCCTCGTCTCCCTCCTCTTTCTTGGGTTTCTGCTGCCTGAGGTATTCACTGAGCACTCGGTCAGTTGGGGCCATCTTCCCAATGTATTCTTGGATGTTCCTTGTCTCATCCTGGACTGTGGTGCTGACACTCACCAGTCCCGGCCCCTTCCTTCCGCTTAGCGTACAGCCTCCGGGTGCTGGACTTGGGGTGAAACCCTCCATGCATGGTAAGGAGCTTTCTTGTCTTTATGTCAGTGGCTTCTATCTCCTCCTTTGGCCAGCCTATTACCCCAGCAGGGTACCTGATCACGGGCAGGGCGTACGTGTTGATGGCCCGGATCTTGTTCTTACCATTCAGCTGACTCCTCAGGACTTGCCTGACCCTCTGCAGGTACTTGGTGGTTGCAGCTTTTCTAGCGGCCTCTTCATGGTTCCCATTCGCCTGCGGGATCCCCAGGTACTTGTAACTTTCCTCTATGTCTGCAATGTTGCCTTCTGGTAGTTCAATCCCCTCAGTTCTGACTACCTTCCCTCTCTTTGTTACCATCCGACTACACTTCTCCAGTCCGAACGACATTCCAATGTCATTGCTGTAGTATAGCCTGGTAGTGTGGATCAGTGAATCGATGTCTCGTTCACTCTTGGCATACAGCTTGATGTCATCCATGTACAGGAGGTGGCTGACAACTGCTCCATTCCGTAGTCGGTATCCGTAGCCAGTCTTGTTAATGATCTCACTGAGGAGGTTCAGGCCTATGCAGAACAGCAGTGGGGACAGAGCATCTCCTTGGTAGATCCCGCACTTGACTTGTGCTATGGGCTTGGAGTTGGCCTCTAGTG